AGAATGCTTTACAGAAAAGTTAAGAAAATAGTAGAATGAGATTTCTATGTTTTTCCATGAAGCAGGTATCAGAACACACATGTGCATTCAGTGTCATTCCCTTATTCTTATAACCCACATCTAATGCCCTCATGGTGTCATAGTTTTATGTTTTTTTGGTTTTCAGTATTCCACATCAAAACATCATGTACTGGAATTAAAGTGTTAATGCCCCAATTCCAGGTACCTATCCCTATACATTACGGAAGTCATGGGATCTGACCCTTCTGGGTGAGGCAGTCTCTTACTGCCTGGCAGTGGGTGCTGGAGGGTGCCTTCCTAGCCGTTGCAAGCTTTTCAGGTTTGACTCAGTCTCAGGAACTCTCTGTCTTCTATCTTATTTGATTTATTAATCTCAATTTCAATTAGATTGCATTATATTGCGTTATCTTGCATTGCAATATCATAGTTAGTAAAATAAGTTTTCCTCCATAGATTGTTGCCACTGTTTTTTTCCTCCCTTCCTTCCTTCCCATTTTGTGGGGCCAGTGGGGGTGGGAGGGGGGGATGGGGGGAATAGATCCCTGTCACAGGCATAGATTGATCTAGTTAACTCTGTGACACATGGGATGGAAAGTACCAAGTTGCATGCACCTGAGCTCCCCTGGGTTGGCCCTGTCTTCCCAACAGGTGTTCAAACACTGTTTCAGACTTAGCATTTCTGCAACACCATAGTAGAGTGAGGAAGATGTGCTGAGCCTACCAATAAGGATGGAATCCCTGTAGAGAAGGAACTGGCAAAAACAGCCTCCAAACAGACCTCTACCCTGTGTAAAAAGCACAGCTTGTTTTCAGAATCCTTAGTAACTTGCATTGGTATTACCCCTTATGCATTTGTCTTGCACAATCTTCTGACAATGATGCTAAAAGCCACATTTAAGTCTATTCTACTGATCAGTTTTTGTTCCTCCTGAAATCTCTACTCGTAAAGCTTCAGAACTGCTTCTAAGCAGTTCTTTTATCATTATCATTTACACAAGGAAAAAAAGGTTTACTTATTATCTTTAGAAAATATATTTCTGTTCACTCATTTCTGCCCTTAGAGCAGATGTTTTACCTCTCAGTCAAGTATTAGCATACTGGTTAATGGTTTAGGTTTACAAATACAGATAAGTGTGTTTTCTGAACCTACATTAACCCTTCTCAATATATTTATTTTCACTTTTTATAGAATCATAAAGCTGTAAAAACTGAATATAAAATATCATAGAATGACTTAGGTTGGAAGGGACCTTAAAGATCATCTTGTTCCAACCCCCTTGCCATGGATAGTGCTTCCATCCACCAGATGGAAGCTGCTCAAGGCCTCATCTAACCTGGCCATGAATGCCTCTATCCAGTGATAGAGCATCCACAACTTATTTGGGCAATCTATTGCAGAGCCTCAACATCCTCATAGTAATGAATTTCTTCGTAACTATGTAAAAAATTTGTCTCTCTCCCACTTACAAGCTCTCTTCAAGTATAGGAAAGCTGTACTGAGGTCTCCTCAGATTCTTCACTTCTGCAAGTGAAACAAGCCCAATTCCTTCAACCTTTCTTCATAGAAGAGGTGCTCCAGCCCTTTGATTGTCTATGTGGCCCTACTCTGAACCTGATCCAACAGCTCTGCATTTTTCTCATTTTGGGCCCCTGATACACTGGGCCTGGATAAATTGTTCCAGATGAGGCACAGCAGAGGGAACAATCACCTCCCTTGCCCTGCTGGCCACCTCTCTTTTGATGCAGCCCAGGATACTGTTGGTCTTCTGGGCTGCAAGAGCACACTCCTGGTTTATGTTCAACTTCTCATCCATCAAGTTTGGAGACCAACGGAATGTATACTCTCCTTGGCCTGTCTCTTTTGATCAGTGTATTTAAATAAATCCTTCTTGATATTTTTCTCATCTCTTGCCAAGTTCTGTTTCGTTGGTGCCTTGGTTTTCCTATCCAAACCCTGCACATTCAGGCAACATCTCTATATTTTTCCCAGGCCACCCACCCCTGCTTTCACTGCTTTTACATTTCCTTCTCATCTCTCATCAAGTTTGATCATTAGGTCCTTGCTCAACTATGCTTGTTTCCTGCCTCCTTTGCTTGATTTCTTATGCCAGGGGATGGGTAGCTCTTGCACTCTTAGAAAGGTGTCCGTAAAAAGCTGGCAGCTCTGTTCTGTTCCTCTGTTTCTAAGGGGAGTTTCCTAAGGGATCTCATCCAATAATTCCTTAAACAACTGGAAGTTCGCTTTCCTGAATCTCAAGGTCCCAACTCCTCTCTTTGACAGACCTGTATTCCTCAAGATCACAAATTCAATTGGGCTGCCTCTGATCTTAACCTCCCTAAAGATCTCCTTCACAATGGTGAGCACCAGGTCCAATACCACTTCACCTCTGGCCTGTGTCCAATACTTGGATCAGAATGTCATCCTCAAGAGACTCCAGGAGTCTCCTGGATTGCCTGCAGCTCACCATTTTGTTTCCCCAGCAGTGGGGAACAGAGGACTGGGTGGTTCAGTCCTCTTTGCGCACTGCAACTCCTACATTCCAAATTTTTTGAACTATTTTCCAAAATCTGGAACCACAGACATCTATTTACTTCTCACCCAATTTTAAACTTCCCTGTGACTCTTCTGAGTTCAAAGACACTTTTTCACTTGCAGTATTCCATCTGTTTAAAACTTACTTCCTCTTTTCCAAAGCCACTGAGTCATTTTTTTAAATCTCACTTTGAAAGTTTCCTCCCTCCTTTAATCCATGAGTCCCTAATCCCTGGAAAATATTTTAATGATATCCTTTAGAACCTTACACAGTAAAAGAGGACATTATTGTAGTCTCACTGAAGTAAACTATATTTCATGTACTTATGTGACTGTATACTAGGAGTCCTACTGGGTACACTCAAGACAGAGTGACCCTTGCAGGATCACTTGAAAGACTGCATCCTCTCATTGGAAAGCCTAATAGCTGCACTCCTGTAGATTTAAAAGCTGTTATCACAATCTCACTTTTTTGTCTTTCAATTTATAACCTGTCCTGTGATGTCAGATTAATGCCAGTGAGTTTAGTCTAGTTTCAGGAATGGACAATTCTGGGCTCATTACAAATGAAGAAAAGAATGTAGTCCCAGTATTTTTTCCTCCAGTGATGAGTACCATTTCCCTCATTCTCACTTTAGATAATCTCCAAAGAGTTTGGCATGCAGACAATCAAAGCAATTGTCTATCGAGCTAACTAAACGAGAAATGAAAGTTTCATAATTGTTGCTGTATTCACTCAGCTAGTGATGGATGGATCATGAAAGTTTCTGTTCTAAAATACTGAGTAAGACAAACAAATTGATCTTAGATCAGTTCTATCCAATTCAGTGACAGGATGAGAAAAACTTGCATGGCGAGTTGGACTGCATAGTGAGGCTGAGGGAAAGCTTTAAGAAAAGAGGTGTGTGAAAATTCGGATGATCGTGTGGTACTAATGGTATCATCCAGAAACATGTGAGCAGTAACTATTGATAAAGCTGGTATTCCTCCACATTTAAATACCCTCATCGTTGTAGCAGATATTTTTTTGTATTCCTGTTGAAAAGGACACTTAAATGTAGCCTGATTTTGTTGTTGTTATGTTTTTGGTTTGGTTTGGTTTGGTTTGGTTTTGTTTTTTAGCTTAACTAAGCATTTTATCTTCATTTACCTGGCAATTGTCTGGGGACTGAGTTTTTTTATTGTTTTTATTTAACTGGCATTTGTTTGAAATTTGGTTGTTGTGTTGTTTTTGTTTTTTTTATTCTCAAGATTTTTGGACTAGCCAAAGTACTAGAAATGAAAGAAGAATATTCCAGTTCACATTTACTTTTCTCCCAGGGTTGTGAATTGAAGAAATTATTCAAAATGTTTCAGACTTTGCAATACATTTCTTAGTGTTTGCAACAAATGCTTTGATTACAGTAATTTACATGAGTATAATAAATAATTGCATTTGTGCAAACAATATCTACATATAGCAAATAAGATAAATAGAAATATAGATGCAAATATTAATGTTTAATTAATAATAATAATAATTTAATTAATAAACTATTATTAATAGTGCTACTACATAGCACTATTATAATATGGATGGTAGAACAGAGGTAGAAGAAAAAAAAACTTTTTTACATCCTGAGTGATTACTGTTATATAAAGGAACACTATGACAGAACATAGACTTTGCAGAAGTGGGTACAAATTCAGTGTAGTTAACTCATTTACACATTGAAAATATGGTTGTACAGCAGCAAATCTTTTGGACTGTTGTCTTCTATGAGAAGTACTGCAAGCGTTAACTGAACTAGCAGATAAATTGGATATAAATATTATACAAATCTATTTCTAACAAAAGGTGTTCTAAACAATGGTTTTGAAATTTGTTGCTCAGTCTTTAGAGCCCTACGCATCAGGGAGAAAAAAAATAAATCTGAAATATAACACAAAGATTTCATTAATGCTGTATTGTACAAGTGAGTACAACAATAACACATGTGAGAGATAGTCAAATAAGGAAAAGAAATGGATAAAAAACATAAAGATCTAAATTCTTATTTTTATCCAGAGCCCTCAGTCTGCAACTGTCATAATGTTTCTTACTGTACTCTCATACTTCATTTCCTAATTTGAACTATTTCTACATATAGCATGTAGGCATTCCTGCAGTCCTGGTAAAGAATAATGAAATACTATAAGAAGTGATGGATCTACTGCATAGGTCAGGTGAATCTAGAAAATTTATTCACTTCTGCAACGTTCATATTTTCCTGTTACTTTACTTTTAACTGTGGCAGGTTGTTACCATTTAATTACTACAGATGATCCAGAAGTGTAATAAGTGAATGTAGAATATTACAGAAGCAGGTGAAATCAAAATGAGTTCTATTTCTTCTATAAGCAGTACAGTTTGGAACTTTTTAATTAAATATGCAGATTAAAAAAATATATAAAATGAAATACTCACTCCTGTTATGTAACGAGGTCTATACTGGATGGTTCCAAATAAGCCAAGTATGACTACAATAATGTGTATGAAATTTGCCAAGATGGGTGCCCACTGATAACCAAGGAAGTCAAATATTTGCCTCTCGAGCACAGAAACCTATGATTAAAAAGCAAAAGAATAAATAGATTAGAACACACCAGAAAATATCTACTGGGACACTGTCCCATCCCATAGAAAGATAATTGCTCTAAGTTAAAAACAAAAACAAGAACAAATTCAGTCAGCAGTATCAGCAGCACAAAGAAATGAGTTTGCAATATTTCACTTTCTTGTTTTAATGAAAGCTGCATTTCTCACTGACAGATTACGGAGTTATATTCAGTTAGCTAAAATATTAATGTGGGCAATTTTACTGAGATACTAAAGCGTTTCCTAGGATGTTCTGTTTGCAGGTGAAGAAACACAAATCATTTTGTTATATACACCAGCAAATGCTATAATGTCCTAGAGTACTGGTGCTGAAAATATGTGCTGGGTTTATGATCTCTTCTCAGCTACTTTTCTTCCATCTACAAAATCCATCCTTCTGCTTAATCCTGTCTATTTTCTTTCATTATTTTCTCTTCTCTTTTTATTTTTTTTCCTTCTCTTCCTTCTATTTCTAGCTATCTGTTGAAATGTATACAACTTTTTGACCTGGTTCTATTGATAATTACTTTAGTTTATCTTCTCTCACTGTCACAAATAACTCAAATATAAGCTGTTACTCACAACTCCTGACACTTCATTTTTGAAAATGAATTATGGTTCAATCTTGAGTTGTTGATGGCTGTTTTGAGTTAATGCCATTCCAAGCAGATAGATCAGAAGATAGGAAAAAAACTGTATTTCTAATAATAAGAATTCATTTCTAAATTCAAACATCAAAAGTCCCATACCTTGTATTCAGACATTATAGCAAAATATAGCATTGCATAACAAACCATAGGCAGAATTGCATGTTTTGATGTAAGTAATCCTGATATGAAGATTAAAAGGTAATGAAGGCTGAAGTGAATTTAGCCAGAAAGGGTACTGAGTTTCTTTGATATTTGAGTTATTTCAGTAATTTTACTAATTAGAATTAAGTAGATGAGTTTTATGAAAATGTATGTAATAGTAGTAAAACACACAGAAGAAATAAAAAGAGACTGTTTCTTCACAAAGTTTCACTAAATGACAGCAGATTATTTACTCAGTTTATATTATACAATAAATTATTTGATTTAGATGTATCTGTCACACACATTATTCATTTAAAAGATAACACCTTTTGAAATCAAGTACTAAATGAATAATTAACCACTGTTCAGCACTTTTCTTGCATGATATAGCTATGGAAGAATCTTTTAACTTTCATGCCGCAGTCTACTGTCACACCAACATTTCATTTTTGAAATTAACTAAGAAGACTTGCAATTAAAAAGACAGCCCACACTTGCACCAGCATTGCAAATGTAGAACATTAGTTATATAATGCTTACTGGCATATGTTGCACTTTAAAATAGGGATTCTCAAATTAACACTGGGGAAGCCATATAATTTTGAATTTTGAGCCCATTTGAAAGTTCAGGGATTCATGTTAACCACTGAATTCCTCTTTACAACAAAAATTACTTCCATAGAGTACTTCCAGCTTATAACCAGTGTTAATATTTTGCCTAGCATTTTATTTTACAGATATATTGACACAAAGAGATCCTGGTACTACATCATCTGAGATCTTAATGGAGTAATTTGTGCTATCCTGCATCTCTCTCTCTAGCAAATACACGTTATAGAAGCATTCACAGAACCCCAGGATGCAATATTCTAAAAGTGAAAACAGTGAAAAAGAAACAAAAACTAGATCAAGCTGCATTACAAGTTTCATGAAATCTACCTCTCCTTGTGCTTTTTAATTTATCATTAAAAATTATTTCCGTGACTATCAACTTAGTCATTTACATATAAAAGATAAACAAGTGGCACAGAGAAGTGTTATGCAGGTTTGTGTAAAGTCCCTTAAAGCTATTAGCAAAACACTTGCTACACCTTAAGCACCATTAAACAGGTAACGAAGGGAAAACACTCACTCTGAGCACCAAGCAAGGCTGAAGCAAAAAGAGTCTAGACTGATCAAGTATCTAATATACTTAACAGTAGAAATTCAATAAGCAAAAAATATTGGGAATGAAGAAACCATTCAACAAATAAGAAATTATATAGCTAAGAATTTCAACTACAGGAGAAAATCGCAGCAG